TTATACGAAGTTATACGACCACCACCTCGACGCCCTTCTTACTCTCTCTCTCTCTCTCTCTCTCTCCGTCTTTGTTCGCCCTCCTTATCTTCATTCACCCGCTGGCACAGGACAGGACAGGACAGGACAGGACAGGAAGCGGATCCTCGAGGACAACGGCCTGACACCCATCACACCTGGCCCCCGCTTGGCTTTGGCTTGCCCTTCCCGACCTTTGCACCCCGCTCCCCGGCCCCCAGCCTGGCCTCACCTACTTCGACACGACCTACGACCGCAATCACGACCGCGCACAGCCTGCCGCCTCGCTTGCCAGCTACTCTACATACATCACGCTTTCCCTTGACGTCCACCACACCATCACCTCCCTGGCCTGCTGCTCGCCTGCCCGCCTGCCCGCCTGCTCGCCTGCCCGCCTGCCCGCCTGCCCGCCTGCTTGCCGACCTGCCTGCTTCCTTCGCCGCCATTGCCGCCACCTCTCTCCCCGGCCAGCCTAACCTCAGACTGCCGCAAGCACAGCACCGCCTCTGCAACGACTGCGCCTACGCTTCTTCCTAACCACGCCGCCTCTACCCCACGCACGCAAGCACGCACCCGAGCCAGCACGCAGCGTCACGACTCGCCACACTGCAGTTCACTACCCCTCGCACGCTTGAAGCATGCGGGTTGTCGCAGCACTCGCCATCGTACGACCCGCTCGACCCATCCTCTGACGACTGCGGCGGAACTCAACGCCATCCAACACCTCTCGACCCCGCGACCTCCCTCCTGCAGCCTCACCGACCCTTCGCAGACCCGCTGCCCGTCGGCCACCATAGCGGACCGGAACAGCTTCGAATACTCGCCGCCGACTTGATCAATTCCCGTTCTCCCCAACCTAGGCCTCTGCAGCGGAAGTGGAGGGACCTGCACGGATGAGCGCGGCTACCCCGACCAGCCCCGGCTTCCCGCTGGGCGTGGGCTCGTCGACGTCGATGACGGGCATCGCTGGCGGACCTTCCTCGGTGTCGGGCAGCCCGCGCGGCACCAGCAGACCCACGACACCCCTCTCAGCCGGCATCCCCGTCCTGGGCCCCACCTACGAAGATGGTGAGTAGACGGCACGGGCCAAGGCAAGGAGCGCCCAACGACCTGCTTGCTCACTCTGCTGCCCCCCGTCCCGATGCCCTGCCCCTCCGCCCAACGACCTTTCACCCACTGCAATAGTGCGCAAATGGGAAGACGCCGACATCGCAGCGTGGCTGCAGTCGGCGAGGCTCGGTGCCCATGCCGCCACCTTTGTCGAGCACGACATCCGCGGCTCCGTCGTCCTCGACGTCGACCAGGCCGCGCTCAAGGAGATGGGCATTGTCAGCGTCGGCGACCGCGTCCGCATCTTTGCCGCCATCAAGGCCCTCAACAAGCGCTGCGCCGACTCTGCCGCCTTCGAGCGGCGGCGCAGGGGCAGCGCGTCGTCCCTCAGCGCCACCTCGCCGCGCCGGATCCACATCTCGCTGCCAAGATCCGACCCGTACCAGAACGGGCATTCGCAGGACGGAGAGATGGAGTACCTCGAGTACGACAACGCCGACCTGGAGCGCACCGACGAGGCGGGCGAGCTAGCCGGCGCCGGCTCCGGCCGAGGCTCGCTGGGCGGACGTGGGCGCCAGATACGACCACCGCCTTTGCTACTCAAGCAGTCGGCTTCGCGTGGGCTGCCAGGCCATCCTTCGCCAGTATCGTCGATCAACAACGGCCAGGGCTTTGGCCTGAGCGCGGCCCGCGGCCTCACGCCGGGCGCGGGCAGGGGCAGCATCAGCTCCCGTGGCGCCGGCGCCGTCCCCTCGAAGCCGGGTGACGGGCTCAATGGCAGCGGCAGCAACGGTGCTGGCGGTGGCGGCAGCCTCCATCGCAAGGTCAATTCGATTGGCTCCTCGTCTATCCCCGGTGTGGGCGCCGCGCCATCGCTCTCGCAGGGCAAGGGCGCCACCCCGGCGGGACTCCTTGGCCTGAGCGCCAGCCGGGGCCAGCCTGGCCAGGCCCTCGCCTCGGGTCGGCCCAGCACGGCGACGGGCGCCGGGGCGTACGGCTCGCTGCACTCGCACGGGCAAGGGAGAGGCCTGCTCGGATCGCCATCGACCGGAGCATCGAGCCCCACCACGGCTGGATTCTCACAATCAGTACGGCCTTCGACGGCCGGTGGCGCCGGCTCCTATGGCGGCGGCGGTGGCATGAGCTCGAATGGCCAGTCTTCGTACGCACCGCTGACGCCCATCACCGAGAGCAGCGGCTCGCACCACTCGACGCCGGCCAATGGCGGACAGCGGTCGGATGGCTCCACTGCGACGACGCCCTCCAACGGATACACGGTCGGGCGCGGGCCCTTCGCGTCGGCCTCGTCGTCTTCCGGGTCTGCTTCCGCTGCGGCGACGAGGCCGATCACGCCAGGAAGAGAGTGGGTGGGTGCGGGGCTCCAGCACTCGAGCTCGCTGCGCCGACCCGAGACGGCGGATGCGTATGGCTCCAATGTCGCGCCGCCGCCGACGCTCGAGGATCTCAAGCGACGGACGATCAAGTTCATCAGCGAGGAGGACAAGACGACCCGGACCGTCAACGTCAGCGACTGTCGGGACGCCTACGACGTCATGTCGCGCGTGCTCAAGAAGTTTGGCAAGCCGGCCAGCGGCAACAGCTACCGCCCCACGGCCGACCAGGGCCCCACGGGCGACGACCTCGGTGCCACCGAGACGTGGGGCATCTTTGCCACCAGCGCCGACGGCCAGAACACCAAGGCGCTGTCGGACAACGAGCTGCTCGCCATCTGCCATGCGCCGCAGGTCCACGACCCGCTGCGCGAACGCGGCCTCACGCTGCGCAGGATCCCCAACCACCTGCCTGGCGAAGACGTCAAGCGAGCGCCGCCTCGGTCGGGCCGTCACAAGCTCGAGGCCTTCTTTGGCGAACGCATGCCGGTCAATCAGATGAGCCTTGCCCCGCCGGGCAGCCCGCGCGACCAGGACGGCGACGCCGGCAGCGTCACCATCAGCGGCAAAAAGATGCGACGCGCCAGCACGGTCAGCATCATGTCGGGCCTGGGCGTCGGCTACCTTGCCGGCGTGGGAGGCGGCGGAGGCGGGAGCGGTGGCAGCGGCGGTGCCAAGGACCGCAGCAACGGCAGCGGCACGATTCGGCAGAAGGACGGCGGCACGATCCGAGGCAATGCGCCGGCTGCGCCCGCAGCGGCCCCGAGGCCGAGCAAGATCCGCAACTTTTTCGGCCAGCGACCGCCGTCGGAGCTCATCAACACCAACCTGGCCGACTTCTTCCCTTCGACCGACAGCAAGGCGCTGCAGAGGACGGCGCGGCGCTCGATCTACGGCCGCGCCTCGGCCAGCACGCGTTCCAAGCGCAACAGCACGTGGAGCTTTTCGGCAGACCCGGACGCGCCGCCGCTGCCGGGCAAGGAGTCGCTCGACGTGCCGAGGCTCTCGCCGGACCGCGAGCGTGCCAGCCCTTCGCCGTCGAACCTGGACCGCGACGGCATGCCCATCATTCAGATCGGCTTCGGCTCGAGGCCGGATGAGATTGTCGAGCGCAAGAGCAGCCAGCAGAGCAGCCGCGAGGGCCCGCCGACCTTGCCGCCGATCGTGGGCCGGTCGTCGCTCGACGACTGGTCGCGAGGCCTGCAGGCGGTCGGCACGCCCGTCGCCGAGCTGGGAAGCTTCCCTTCCAAGCCGACTTCGTCCAGGCCCAACATGTCGCGCCGCACGTCGATGGAGAGCTCGCGGAGCCGCCGCAGCCTGGCCTCGCAGGTGCGGCACGGCCTGTCAGCGGCACGCGACCGGAGCGACGCCGTCAGCCTGCTCACCGTCGACGAGATCACGCAGGAGGTCGAGCAGCGGC